CGACTTCGTGCTCAAATAGGTTATCCGAGAGCTCCAAGAATGAACCATGGGTCATCCAATTGTCCTCTACAGGTGCTCTTTCAAGTTGATGTTTTGGATGTTGTATCACTGCCTCCCGGTCTCCCAATCCTCGTCACTTGCTGAAATTGCTAAGCTGCAATAACGATGTGAGTTGGCCTGAGGACGCACCGCTGCTCGGTACGTACTCTGATCAGTGCTTACATTGAGCAACATCTTGTAACGGTATTCTGATACTTTTCGATCGTGTTTCGAACGGTTAGTACGGCCCAGCCGCTGTGTCATGCATGGGCCCAGAACGGGCCCAAAACTCATGACAAACCCGTAATCCCGACATGATGACACGATCGCGGGAACGTACGCGGCTGTGACTGATGTGCGTCTGCGTCACGAGTTGCCACAAATCCACGGCCGGAAGGAGCCGCACCACGAAGTCGTAATGGAGTTGTAAGAATTACAAGATTAGCCCTCATCCTCATCCTCCTCACTTCATTCTTGTCTTGGCTGTTCAAATTCACTCTAGATTTGGATGAAAAGCCTCATTTTCATCACGATTCTCATCATTCTGTTCATTATTTTCAGCGGAAGTATAAAATAGCTTGAAGTTTCATCTTTTCTCTCATCCTCATCCTCATCTCCACCCTCCTCATTCTTCTCAGTGAGAAGAATGAGGATGATCAGGGCGATGAAAGGGGGGGTGTAGACCCCCAATGAGGAGGGCGAGAGTGAAGTCTCAGCGCTTGAGAGTTCATCCTCGGCCTCACCTTGGGGGTCTATACCCATGCCTTCATCGCCTTCTCATCATTGAAAATAATGATGAGGATGAGGATGAGGATGAGGATGAGAGCGAAGATGGTTGGATTAAAGCATCGATGTCCATCTCATCCACCGTGGGTCCCTTAACTTCTATTCATTGGGCTCTTCATCCTCATTATCTTCAGTGAAAATGATGAGGAGGATGAGGATGAAACGGGTGGGGGGGAGGCGGGTGGCTTTGTAAAAGGAAGAGGGAGAGAGTTGCAATGCAGCGCATTCATCCAACTCACTGGTTTCACTGAAGAAAATGAGGCGGAGGAGACGAACGAAGGGGATTCTAGAGGGGGATTGGGGATGAGGGGAATGACGCGGAGGAGGGGAGTGAAGGTGGGTTTAGAGGGGGACAGGGGATGAGGGGAATGAGGCGGAGGAGGGGAGTGAAGGTGGGTTTAGAGGGGGACAGGGGATGAAGGGAATGAGGCGGAGGAGGGCAGTGAAGGTGGGTTTAGAGGCAAGGGGAACATGAGGAAGATGAGGATGAACGTATATCTCTATGGGGATTCATTATACTCAATGAGGAGGAAAAACCGATGAGGGGGGAATCTTGTAATTCTTACAATCCCATTAATACTTTCTCAGCCGCACGGGAGAAGTGCTGGCAACCAATTGATCAGACTTCGACAGTTCGACCAAACTTTCTCTGCAGCAAGCCTTTGGTCCTTCTCAGCTCTTCTCCAAATCATCGAATTCAAGTTGCATTGCAAACGCATGTAGCCTGAGATGGCTACACGAATACATGTGCAACTGGCGGCGGCAATGTGTGCTACTAAATAATAGTTGTTTGTCACGGAATCACGGTTAGCGAGATAGCGAGGGCGCGGGCCGCTCGATGGTGAGCGTAAGCGCGTGCGCGCAGCGGGCCCGCCTCCAACTTTGATCCATGGCATGAGTTCAGCATCATCGAACGCTGCGGGTTCTAACCGTTTCTGACAATAACCTTCACCCCTTCTTACAGGTATGGTACTCTTCAATGCCAAGGCTCTGAGAGAGCACCATAGACTTGCTTGACAAGATGGCTGCTTAGATGATCAATGTGATGATTGCTTGATTTCTCGTTTTGTCAATGCATCAAAGTTTGTGGACATTTCATTTTTTTTCCTTTGAATCACTCAACACTGAAGTTGCAGCCGGCTCTCAACCGTTGTCACTGGAAGTACCCAGCAACCCCATTTCAGCTGTAATGATTTGGAACACGTTTCCATGTTGATCAGAAAAGGGGTTACTTCTAAGACTTTTTGAGCTAGCTACGCTAAAGCTTGTTTCTAGATACACATTTACATTGAAGTAGGCAGACAAACGAGTTCGAGCTAATTAAGTGCTTGTCTTGCCACTCATCTGAAGTACTGTTCTGTATGAAGAACCAAAGATGCAAAGATCAGTAGCAATCCTTTCATCCATAGGACTAAGCTAGTGTCATGTTAATGATGCCGTGACTATGCAATCAGCGTTTTTCAATCTATGCCATGCCGCCGTAAAAGTTGATGCTCAAAAGTGTGACAGGTGATCTCGACCTGAAATTCGGGATGAGAATATGCCTCAAGTATGCATTGGCCTTGTCATGCTTAAAGTGGGCGTAGCAAGCGCGCTTGCATTGTGATCGAACGGTGAATTCATATAAGTGAAACTTATCGGACATTCAAAGTCTGACTGAGGATCGACACGGTACGGAACCTTTCGAGGACCAGCCGAATGCGGTACCGAACGAAGCATGGCTCCCGGCAGGGATCGTAGGCTGTCCGCAGGTATCGTACCAGTAGGTACCGCGGTTCCCGCGCTTTGACATCACCCTACGTCAGCCGCAAAACGTCGCAAAAAAATGCCAAATGCGTTGGATTCGAACCACTTGAATCTGGCAGCTAGGCAGCAGGGCGCTTGTGGGCGGCAGCATTGGCATGGCAGATTTAATGGGGGCTCTTTCCTGAGGCTTGGGCACAAAACCAGGGC